TATTATAAGAAACAAACGTTGAATACATTTTTGATTTGTGTAAAAAGGATTATTTAACACGATAAATTTAGCTGTACTATGGTTATTTTTAATCTACGACCACAGGTCAACCTGATTTTTAATCCTTACGAAATTAATTTAAGCACGAGTAAGTAACGAGAACGTTAAAACGTACGTTTCCATTGAAGAATATTGTAAAAACGTATAAATTGTTATATGCAATGTTATAACAAATTGTTAGAAGTATAAATTTATACCAAAAAATTGTGAGAATTAATAAATTATACGTTATTATAACATTACAATAGAATGCAAAATAGAATTACGAAAGAATCGGCGATTTTCTGCGAAAAATAATTGATTCCCGCGAAAAACGAAGGATTTCCCGCGAAAAGTGACCGATTCCCGCGAGAAATTATCGATTTCCCGCGAAAAGTGATCGATCTCCCGCGCAAAGTAGTCCGTTTCCCGCGCAAAGTAGTCGATTCCCGCGAAAAATAGTCGATTCCCGCCCGAATTATTAACGACTTTGCTAATGATTTTGGGGAAGGGGTACCGCAGGTATAAATAGACCCGCGAGCTCCCGCGAAATCATTTACCCTTTATACTGGGCCCTAGACACTTCGCGTAATTTTGATCTGAGGGTACTGAGACGTGGGTAGGGTGGTCGAGGGCTTCTGGCTAGCAGCCTATGTCCACCCTATACACACTCAACTACCTTCTCTCAAAATTTCTTTCTGAAATTTACTATTAGACTTTGAATACTCTGCTTTGAATTTTTCTAATTTTTCTAATTATTAAAACTTAAACTTGGACTATTCAAAGTCTAATAGTCCACTATTTACTACTGAACTACTGCTACTTTTTGCTTGAAATAAATTTAAATAATCCTTCGGGTCGTTAATACACGCGAGAAAATTATTATCGAACGTATTTCGAGATTGTTTTGAGGGTTTAGGGAAATCGAGATTTCAGTTTGTTATTGTTGTTCTTCGTACTTGTCGAATAGGATATCGAAATGAATTTGAGAGGTTGCCTAATGAAAATATTTCGGCGTTTCAGCTGTCCATTAATGAAATAAATTTTCGTTACAGGTTATTTCTAAATTTAATATGTACTTTTCTTCCAGCAATCTATAATTTCATTTTCTTTCAGTATTTATGATATTTTCTATGCTATTGAAAAATGAATTTTGAATTTGTTTCATGAATTGTGATTTACTAATCTAATTCTTCGCAGGAGTTGCATGAATTTTGCATGTTAAGTAGTTAGTTACATTATTGAATTGTATATTGTGAGCTGATTTGCAACGAGTGCACTGTACTCGTTGCACTATGCCCCTAATTAAACCGTCCAAGTAGTTTACCGTGATAAATCAATTTTCAATTTTGATAAATATTAGAGTCAGTGCAACGCGTATTGAAATAATAGCTTCATCCTTAGTTCGCTTATTATTGAATATTTTTCCGCGTTTAACTATTTCCTCCCAATTCGCGTTTTTGCTTTTCTTTCAATTTACTCGCGTTTATTTGATACTTTCTTTCAATTTTTCACTCGCGTTCTATGAAAGTTTTGTTCGATAGTAGAGTCTAAAGTAATATAAATTCGCGATTTCTCCCCCTCTAAATGAATCGCGTTTCGAAGCACTTTTCGCGTCGCCCATTCCACAGTGACTCACAAAGTGTGAGTCTGTGAGTCTTGGGAAATGAACTGGGAGAGGAAGGAAGGAGGCAATGCAGTCAAATCCAAGTTGCAGAGCCCAGCTGCCTAATCTTCGAATTGTGAGTGACAAAAATGGGTTTTTTTTTCTGGTGATATGGGTAGTTAGTTGTGTTATATATTGTGCTGCCCCTAATTAAACCGTCTCACTAGTGTTTCGCAATTAATAATCGATTTTTACGAGAAGTTTTCAATTTTTCAAAATATTAGAGTCAGTGAATCGCGTATTGAAATAATAGCTTCATCCCTAGTTCGACTTATTATTGCATATTTTTCCGCGTTTATCTGATATTTCCTCCCAATTCGCGTTTTTGCTTTTTATTCAATTTACTCGCGTTTATTTCATGCTTGTTTCAATTTTTCACTCGCGTTCTATGAAAGTTTTGTTCGATAGTAGAGTCTAAAGTAATATAAATTCGCGGTTTCTCCCTCTCTAAATAAATCGCGTTTCGAAGCACTTTTCGCGTCGCCCATTCCACAGTGACTCACAATTCGTGAGTTTGTGAGTCTTGGAAAATCAACGCTTGGAGGAAGGATGACCATCTGAGAGGAAGGAAGGAAGGAAGGATGCAACGAAATCGACATTGCAGAGCCCAGCTGCCTGTCTGCGAACTGTGAGTGAATTTTTTGAGGGTTTGGTGATTGGTTATATATGTGTGTGCATGTGCATGTTTGAAGCTGAACTACCAAAACTTGGAAGAAGAAATCAAAGGATGTGAGTTCACATCCGAACTCTACTGCACTAAAGGTGCAAACGCCCTCCCATTATTAGAGTATCCCAATAGTATACCGCGTTAATTCTTAATAGAGTCAATTTTCACCACGAATGCCCATTATTTTCGATCGATACGAGAATTTATTACGTCGCGTCGCGTTTCATAATAGCTTCATCCCTTTTTCTTTCTTTGCTTTTCTTTTCTTTTTTTGAGAACGTTCAGTTGTTACCTCCCTTAAACCTTTGCTAAATACCCCATCTAAAATGGACTACATGAGAAAATGGAGGATGGTAAAAATTCGCGATTTCGGGTACTAAATAAAATTCAACGAATTAAACTACACTTGAAAGAAATCGCGATCCGTACACAATTTCGCGCGACACTTCCACAGCTTCCTAAGTCTGGTGGGTCCTTCAGTCTGGCTTTGGGTCTCTCAATCTGGCATTGGGTCCTTCAATCTGGCTTTTTGGGTCTTTAAATCTGGATTTGGGTCTCTCAATCTGACTTTGGATCTTTAAATTTGGCATTGGGTCAGTCAATCTGGCTTTAAATCTGGCATTGGACCACTGGTGGAACCAAATTTCGAGGCTTGGAGGACTCAAATCTAGCTGATGGAACTAAAATTCAAGGCTTAGAGGATGCAAATGGTTCACTGAGGGAATTTCAGACTCCATGGATCTGAGAGGAAGATGAGATGCAACCAAGTCCATGTTGCAGTGGTCAGCTGTGAGTTCTGTGAGTGGTGAGTCGCATATTTCTTTTTGCTTTTCTTTTTATATTCATTATGTATTATTTCCAGTTCAGAAATTTTACCACTTTCTTCCAGAATATACACTCGTAATTTATTTATTTGCAATGAATAACCCAATTTACTAATTTTCAGAAGTTACAAGTATTCCTTTAGCTAGAACAATACTTTTCTCAAAGTATCGACGATATATCAGAATTTATCGAAATTACAAAACGAAAATATATAATTGATGCGAGAGATTTGCTTAATGAACATTCTGTGGTAACCCATAGGTAACTGTGTCAAACAATTGTCACTGCTAATTATTATTCCACAATAGCCCATCGATCTATTCCAATTTATAATAAAGCTTCTACAGTTTCCACGAACTATTTCGAATTTTAGTTCAATTACAAAATCAGGAACTATACCAATCCTCGACGTCCTTTATCGAATACAAATTCAGTAAGAAATTATGGAATATCCAAGTAAATCAATAGGATTCTTGACGTAATGACGAATCTTGTTAGTGGTGAATCTTAGGCAATTCGCGTCATTTCTTAAAAATTCTCCTTTTCCAAAATTAAACTAGCAAGTAAGCGAAGTGTGTGTGAGTTTTAATTTTAAGGATTGTAGTTGATAAGGTAAAATAAATTAGCCTAAGAAAATAAACTTTAAGTAGTTTGTAAGATAAAGTAAGTTAATTCTAAGATAGAAAATTGAACACTATGTGCGCGTTTCTTAATAAAATACCTTGAAAAATTATTCAGATTCTATGGTAGATATGAAAGTTCCATTTAACATGAAATTTTAACATCGATCTGTCAATAGCAAATTAGCAATCAATTGCCTACGAAACACAAAGAAGAATTTCTTCAATTTTCTGGCATAAAATTTCACAAGAAGTAGCAGTAAAGGAAGATTAAATAAGAAATGCAATTCTGTGACAAATTTTTCCCAAACAGTGTTTTTAATGTGTTACACAATAAAAAGTTACATTACGTGGTAAGATACTGTATCTCATCTTATATATTTTACTTTTCAAACATTTGTATCAGACTTTTCTGCGATTTTTCAATTGCATTACGCATTGTTGCAATAATTTCTATCGTTACATTTAATTCTAATTGTTTAGCAGCTTTTCTGCTGCTATCGACCCTACATTTTACTGACACTTGTGGAATCGACCCTACATTTTTTTTTTTTTCTTACGTGGAAGTAGGCCGACTCTGTGTGATAAACAATTGGCAACCAAACGGTGGCTCGCTAAAGCGATATATTATGAAATTAAATTAATCACTCAATAAGTATTAACATTAGATTGTTTCCTCGATATGGCCATGGTGGTCCTCAGTGACTGGAGTGCCTCAAATGTTTAGAATAATTAAAATAAAATAAATGTTGTCAACTAAAAATTTTGAACGTCATAGCTAACAATGGGCGCAGCAATGACGCAGACCTAGGCGTAGGATCACCTATACTGTCACATGTAGAATCCAAACTTACTGACTCTTGTAGAGAATTTACTGTACTTGCTGTGTGTCGAACGTTCGCTGGTTTTGGAAAGTTGCTAATGGGTCATTTTGACCCGACCAGTAGTTCTAGTGTTAAAAAGTGTCTCCGATGGAAAAATTTTTCCAAAATTAATCGCTTCCCTTCGAGTCCTACGTCTCCCTTTGGTGTGATAAAAAAAAAGAAGCGAAATTCGAGGTGTATCTACTTGAATTTTTATTCTAGGGAATTTTTGGTCGACGTTTAATAAAAGATTATCGCACATAAACCATCGAGCAACTGTCATCGTGCTTCACTCCGAACCACAAAATTCCTCGAGTATCATGTGCGACCATTGCAGGTACGTTTCTCCTCTTTTCAACGTTTAAACGTACGTTATTCCTTGTGAAACAATTCGTACGTTTTCAGAACCTACAAACCGTTGCTGGATGCGCAGGACGACGTTCCGAGAATCTACGACAAACCTCCTCGAATCAATCCGACACCGACGATACCGTAAGAAATTCATCTTGCAACTTCGTTCTCTATATTTAATATCGTTCTTCAGAGTTCACACCGAAACTGTTCGAGTTTAGAGGAGAGATCGAGTTCGGGAGATAACGAGGTGTTTACTATTTACGACAGGCGACCCGAGGCCAGCAACAACGGTTGCTGCTCCTGGAGGCAAAGCTGCTGCAACGGTGGTTGCTGCGACCGAGTTGGAAACTGCTGCTCCCCTCAGCCGGAAGCTCGAATGCCCGAAAAACCCGCTTACGGCAACGGTTATGGTCAACCGAGCATCTCCAGCCAGCCCTATTTACCGACTGGTGAGTGTCGCGACATTTTCAGTGGATATCTTCGCGACAGACACACGAATGTCCACTTCCGGGCGAAATTATCGTGGAATCGGGGGGAGAAAATTGTAATTGAAGAACTCGTTTCTGAAACGAATCTTTGGATTGGAGAATCCTCTGTGTTCCTTTATTCTTAACCCCTTTGGTAGATTTTAACGAGCGACGTGGGTGAGGAACGGTAAATTTTTAAGCACGGCCGTGAAATTTGTTATTTTGGTCGTATCGTTTTGAAATTCGGTTTACTGAATTAAGGTGGAAGTGTGTAGAGGATGAAATTAGGTATTGAATTAAGGGGGAAGTGGATCGAGAGGTTCCAACAGGATAGTGCGAGCAAATTTTCGAAACGTCTATGGGCGCTAACAGTAATGAAAGGGTTAAAGAGAATACGCGTTTTGTAAGAAGTAGAGAGAGAGAGAGAGAGAGAGAAAAGAGAAGAGAAAGAGAGTCAGAGAGAGAGGGGGAGGAAGGGGAAGAGAGAAGAGAGTCTGAGAGAAAAAAGAGAAGAGAAAGAGGGTCTTAGGGGAGAGAGAGAGGAGAAGAAAGTCAGAGAAACAGAGAGGGAAGAGAAGAGAAAGAGAGTCATAGACAGGAGAAGAGAAGAGAAAAGAGAGACAGAGGGAGAGAGACGGGTACATATATATATATATATATTAATACGAAAGCTTTGTAATTACGCGAGGACGCGAGAATTTTCTCGTGCGGTGTTTGAAGAAAAGTGGATTTTCTAGGTCGCTGGTCACCACCGCCGTCACGTTCAAACACACGTCTTCCTTCCTTTTTTTTCTCTCCTACTTCTTTTGCAATTAAAATCAACCGCGAGTTCTCGCGGAGAGAGCGGCAGGACTTTTAAAAATTCTTTTGTATTCCTCGCACATCTTGGCCGGACGTGGTTAAACTTCCCGAGGAGAAGATTGTGGGAGATAAGATCGTTCAGGGGTGGTGGAAGGAAAGGGATGAATTAATTTTAGCGGTTAAGGCCGAGAGACTTGATGACAAGATGCTAATCTAAACGAGCTTTCGAACAACCTGGCTGTGTGTTAACTAAGGCAGAATGTAACGGGATCGGGGGAATTCTCGATAATTCGAGGAAAAAAAGAAACTTTAACGAATCGATTTATGCGGGTTGAAAGTGAAGCCCTGCGGAATCGTGAATCGATTAGTCCTGCTCTGGCTGCTTTATCGCGTTAGCCAAACTGTATCGGTGAATGGTGATCCGAGGGCAAAGTTATCGGGGGCCTCTGTTCTGATCGTGTTTAAACGTTCACACATTTTCGCTTTTATTTCCCTAGAAAATTAAGAAAGAAATGGAAAATTTTAAATAATATCAATGGAAGATATTAAATTTCGTTAAATCTCTGCATAAATTTTATGGGTCACACTCTTTTCCTTTCGTTTCTCCAGAAAATGAAGAAAAATAGGAAAAATTTTAAATAACATCAATGCAACATATTAAATTTGATGAAATTTTATTGTTCACTCCTTTTTTTTCTCATTCCTCCAGAAAGCTAAGAAAAAGAAGTGAAAAATTTTAAATCAACGAAAGGTGTCAAATTTGATGAAATCTTTGCATATATTTTATTGTCCACACTCCTCTCTCTCTCCGTTTCTCCAGAAAACAAAGAAAAATTTTGAATAATATCAATGGAACATATCAAACTTGATTAAATCTCTGCATAAATTGCACAACATTCCTCTTATTTTTGTTCTAAATTGAAAGAAAAAAAAAAAAACAAATTCAATCGAGAAATACAAAAATTTTATCGTCTATCTGTTAAACTGATTCCTACATCGAAGTTTCGCGAAAAGAGAGAGAGCGTTGTAACACGATCTGCCCGCAGACTTTTTCGATCACACTCCAAATGATCCTCGAATCTCCCTTATCAGACCTCCCGATGCCAGATAGGATGCCCTGTGCACGTCAAGAGAGGAAGTTACCTATGTGCTACGGCGGAGACTGCCACGATTCGAAAGCTGGTAGCAAAACGAACTGCACGCTAGGTGGGAAGAACCCTGAAACCGAGTCGATACCGAGGCAATCGGAGCGATAGAAGACGTTCGACGCCGATGGAGAGTGCATTGCCGCGTTTTCGTCACGAGAAAATCTCCAAAGTGACAAACTGACGTTACTCGATCTCCAAGAAAATGCATCCCAACTATTACTATCTCTTTCTTAGAACACGAAAATTCGTTTCTCCTCTCGACGCTTCTTTCTAAAAACCAAACATTCCTACGTGCGAAATAAAAATCTTCCATCAATTTCTTCCTGAGTAAAAGACGGTACATATATCCACAATGACAAAATAGAAAAAACCGATCGATACACCGGTGGGAAGGTGAGAAATAATTACGTCTATAATTATAGTTAATCTTCGAGTGTGCCGGACTCTCGTTTAAAGATTTATCAGCAAGGATGACGCGCTGTCGTTATCCGGGTGTGATAAAACGTCCGACGAAGCGCTAACGAGGAGACGCTTCGATTTCGATATCCTTCGATGCGCCCCATAAATTTCTACGTCAGGAAACTTCTAACGAGGCAAATAGCCGCGTAAAGGATAACGGTGACGTAAAACGATCGTAATGGACCGTCGTAAACCGGGGTAGCCAGATGATAATTGTATGCCTGAGCGTTAAAGAACACCAGGGTGAACCTCCAAATGGACAAACTTTTTCCATCCACCCTCTCTTCTCTGCAACCTATTCGCCAGCTAAGAGAAAAAAATCTAGGAAGAGGAAGTACAGTAGAGCGTCAGCTATCTGAACCAATTGGGACTGAGGTGGGCTCGGAAAATCGAATTGTTCGGTGTTGCGTCGTAGACACGGACGACCAAACCTGCTATTTTTCAGGGCTTCTAATCGCAATTCTTTTGTGTTTACTTTTCCGTTCGAAGCGATGTCGAGGGCCAGAAGCTCGGCCGTACGCCTTCCTGGCGTCCGTACATCTCCTTCAATAGCAATTGACGCGTCGTAAAGTCACTTCATACACACACACAGAGATCAGTCCCGTGTGAACCGATCCCTCGTAGGGCCTCACACGCGCGCCATACCACCACCCCGTCGACTAGGGAAAACCTGGATGGACTACGCACCCCGTACTCCCGGAGGACAGCCGAGGACGAGGAAGGTCTATTCGTCCGCATTGGCCACCCCCTCACCTTAGTTTTTAGATAAAACTGTACGAAAGGCCCGACGCGCCCCATGTCAAAAAAGGTTTCCCAAAGATCAGCAACACAATTCACGTCACACCATAATTCACACGTGCACACTTATATCCCTCACACAATATTAATTTGGCATGAGAGACGCGATACCCCTAAACTCAATAAAGTTAAGAATCGCGTCGAAACATATAATCAAACAATTCACTTAACGACACATGCATGTACTTACTGTAAGACTAAGGAATTACAGGGCTTAAAATAACGTCGGTGACTATCTGCGATATTGTGTGGGCCGCTGCCCTTTTTCCCGTTTCTATATCGTCCTTCGGCCGTTAGGACCCAGCAAGCCTCGGGGTGCGGGTGCAGCCTGCGCTCATCCTTGTCCAAGGCCCCCTGCGGCTCGGGTCCTACGGTCGTTGTCTAGGCGCGTCGCGCAGCGCCTTACATTACCCAGTTTATTGTTAGATTTACAAGTCAGTTAGATATAACAAAAATTAATCTAATGCCTTACTAGTGTCGAATCCTCATCCCTTTGCCCCTTGACTCCCGTGCATACAGATCCTTATCCCAGGTACCGTTTTGACAACTACCTGCGCGTTTTCCACTTCCCCACCGAATTCCTGTCCTCTCTCCGGCAGATCCTCAAACTGATGCACTCTACCCGTTTCTTTTGTACCGAATCCTTAAGCTCATTACCTAACCATTGTCTCTGCAATTCTTCTCCCATCGAACGGGCAGCTCGAAAAAGATAAAGGCAGCCTCGAAAAAGAACGAAATGCAGTCAGCATTGAATAACACGGCAGTTTGGACCGTACACTTTATATTCGCAAAACCACAGCGTAAAGAAAAAACTACCAACAAATAAAGATAATTCGTAAAATCCACCGTCTAAAGTGATTCGACGACACTAGGGAGTATATATTTCTTTTGTAAACGTTCGAAGAAATCCGTTTAGCTTTACCACCTCTGTTTAGTAAAGATCTAAATGTTTACGATACGTGACAAAAGGCCGTTCGGTCACAAGTAGATAATTCGTAAAATCCACCGTCTAAAGTGATTCGACGACACTAGGAAGTATATATTTCTTTTATAAACGTTCGAAGAAATCCGTTTAGCTTTACCACCTCTGTTTAGTAAAGATCTAAATGTTTACGATGCGTGACAAAAGGCCGTTCGGTCACAAGCGGGGTCGTAGGCAATATTAGGGCGTTGCGCAGGAGCGTTCCTTGTGTCAAATAAAAGTTTATAGTTTAAAATAAGCATTATTAATTATTTAACAATCCGTAACTCCCATAATCCAATATTTATAATTAGAGGAACGAAGCCTAAAATTACTTATTGATGAAAATATTGAAGAAAAATGCTTCCAAGTAACAATATATTAAGAAAGTTTATTTTTTACTCATCAATTGGTACCGCTGCACCATAAGTTTGTTTACTCCTCTTACCGATGTTCCGGATAACTGACGCTCTACTGTATCCGAAAGGGAGAAAGAAAAGAAGCTCTGCCGATTCTATGTAACGCTGGTAAAATTAATCATCACGCAACGTCGTCAACGTGTGCAATTCAGCCAGATTCACTATACGAACCGCCTAACTGCGCCCCAATTCATAGCCCAGGTCCATTCATCAAACTGCAGGTCCCTTCTATCGACTCGGAAATAAGTGGAAACTGGGCCGAACTACCGACTGACGCATCACATGTATTCCCAGCAAACATTTCGCCAGATATTTCCAACCACTCTCCTATACACTCTGACGGGATATTCGGAAATTTTTTTTCCAACCGCAGTCGGGAATATTTTCGCTTTTGAT